TTATATATATATATATTTATATTTATGTTAAAGAATTAAGTACAAAATAATAACAAGGATAGAAATAGGACTAATCTTTCAAACAAGAGAAAAGGAAAAGACATTGGAGAAGATTAATGATTCCATCAAGAAATAAGAGCATCTCAAAGCCCTAGAAAGGGAGCAGTGTGTTTCCAAAAAAGCACTTCCAAAAGAGATGTTCAGTGATTATTTTGGGACTTTTTGCATTTTCTTTTACAGAACAGATTCATTTTAAAGGCTAATTATATAATTTGGTCTATAATATTTGAGTTTTTTTTTTTTATTTTGTATTTTGATTAGAGGAAATAAATATACTACGCTCACCCACAAAATAAAAAGCTTACCTGTTTTCATATGACTTAGAATATAGTTTAATTTGACCCAAAATCGTCTGTTACAGAAAACTGACCTATTAAAATGTTGATATACTAACAAATGACAAAATTTCATACAAACTATCATATTTAAACTCATATATCATTGTTCTATTAACATTTAGTGATCGATGGTAAGGAGTTAATAGAAAAGTGAATGCAATACATAAAATGAAACGATGAAATTGAAACTTTCAAGGAGTCGTTTGTTTGGTGGTAATCTAAGATTACCGTTTCATCTCAATTACTTGTTTAGATTGTGTTAATTCTAAAATAAATGGACATCTCAAAAAGTCTCGTTTGAATCAATCTTGATTTGCGTTTAAACGATAGGTTCTGCCAGACATACTATATTTACCCCTATTATTATTATTATAAGAAAAAAGCTCTCAAAATCTACTGTGCTTCATTTTTCTCTGATTTCAATCGGATATTTATTTTTATATTATCTTTCTTACTATATTCTCCCTTTTCCTTTCTTTTTCTACTTTTTATTTTTTTTTTCTTGTGTGTTTTCTACCAGTTTTAGTAATTTTTTATGAATTATTCCAAGACACTGATCTTCGAATTTTATTTTCTACATTTTTGTTGTACTTTTCTCTCTCTGTATAAAAACAAGATATTTTCTACCTTTTATTTTCTCTCTCTATATTTCAAGACACTGACCTTCAAAAAACAAGATACTAAATTAATAAAAATAAATTTAATATAAATATAAACTATATTAAATTAATATAAATTAGATTAGTATTTGTAATAACATTTTTGGAACATTAAATTTACAACATTTTCAAGAATAGACCCTGCCAAAGAAACGCGATTATCAAAATATTTCTCAGACACATTCATAAATTTTCTTACAAAACAAATGTTGCTATCTAAAGATATCGAATATCTAAAATTTCAGACATTTGAAGAGGTTGAACATATACATCCTTAAAAAAAAAAGGTTTAAGGGGTCAAATTGCAAAAGTCTAGTCATTAAATTATATTATTTTGATTCCATTTTATTGGGATTTTGCAGTTTTGACATTGATATTTGCTTTGTTTTCTTTTTGGTGGTTTTGTGTGTATTTCCAGCCTGAAAGTTCACTAAATAATTTGTTGGAGAGTGGTGGAGTCAATAATTTGAAGGAAACAGAAGAGCTTTACCCCTCACCTCATTGGACTCAAAAGGTAGTTTTTTAAAATGACTTTTGTTGTAGGTGGAATCAGAGTTGCTGCGTAGCCCTCTCGCCCGAGAACACGTGTTTGAGTCATAGGTTGGACCAGAGAGTACGAGACGAGTCACATAGAATCAACCTTGACTGACCTCGCGCGAGAGCCCAACTCGACACTAACCTGAAAACATAGACGTCATCAGCATAAAATCTACTGATGCCCAGATGCATAGCACCACAATAGATCAACGCTTTCCAAAATTCTATTAAAAAGGACAAAGTTCATTCCTCACAATAGATAACTAAGTTTCGTTCTCGAACTAAACTATAATAAGTTTTGGAGTGTATGTAGCCGAGTATCACACCAGTGCAAGGTTACATTTACACGTCATCACCTCAGTTGATTGGACATCCACCTCGGATCATAAACCGACTTGTTACCTTGTCTAGAATTCTGCATCAACAAGTTCAATAGTAAAAAAGTAATTCGAGAAGTACAAAAATAAATGATAAGCACTTAAAGTACTTTTCGATGGAACATTTAATTAGTTTTCTTCTAAAAGTACTTACAAAATAAATGTTTCACTTAAAAACATTTCTTTTTTAAAAACGCATCTCAAACGCGCGTTTTATGGCGCCCAAATAGTGGAAGGATAGTGACCATTTCTCAAGTTTAATGTGATGGAGACATCAAAATGGCCAAACCTATCTGTGATCTAATTATTGAGGGAGGAGATGTTGATGTGGTGAGAAATCTTTGGGCATGAAATGATTCTCTAAGTATTAACAACAGTTCTTTTCTGGTGGAAAATTGATCACTTTCATGGCTGCATGCACTTGTTTTTGGCTCAATAGTGAAACCCTAAACCTTGTTGAAAAAGGATAAAGAGGGAAAAACAAATTGATTCGAGAGTGTACGGGAAAAGGTTCGGTGAACTATTTGAACAATTTTTTCGAGTTGTTTTTGCGTCATTTATCGTCAAAGAAGATTCGTCTTTTAAAATAACTGAAGTTATTTTTTACTTTCAAAATCTTGATGTTAATGTTGAACCTTGACGAATATTTTAGTCCTTCACATGTTGAACTTAATGTTTACTTTCGTAATCCGAGATTATACAAGCCCAATTTGGGTAGGAAGGAGAAATTTCATAATATTTTTTCTTTATTACTTGATTACAAGGCTGTTTAATTTGAGGTAGTAATAAGATTCCAATCTTATTTGCTGTAGTTTTGACTGTGAAAGGGATTTGCAAATCTAGAAAGTATAATAATAGTGTTGGAAAGTCCATGTTTATTAATCATGTCTCCTAATCTTATGAAAAGACATTTTTTTGCATGTCGGAATCTGAGCATTCCAACTGATAATAATGCTAAAGTGTTTATCGGTCAACACTCATCTTTTCTATAAATTTTTCACAACTACGAGAGAGAAATGTAAAAAAAAAAAGGTATTATCTTCTTATTCTTTACAGTCAGGAACTGTTAAATTTTTATTGGTAATCAACCCCTTATAATTTTTCTTCCAAGTAATGAGATTTTTACAGGTAAAATAGTCTAGTTTTTATATATATTGTTTTGTAATTGAAATCTAACTGGTCCTCCATTTTATCATTTAATTAATGAATGGTTCATCCTAAATTTAAGGGAATGTTATGTAAAACTACAAACTTTTGCCTTTTTACCCTTTACAATCATATTTTCAACCAAAAAAAACCTTTACAATCATTTTATATTCTTTATAATTGAAAACAATAATGTTATTTTCATTTTTCAACTTTTGATTATGATCTATAATAGTGCAATGGCTAGCATACATGCTCGAGTCATACGTGTTAGGAGGAAGTAATATGTGGCAAGCTAGCGATATATCGACTTTCCAACACTAGTTATGTTAAGTTGCATGCTCGATGCTGAGTTTAACCAAATACACTCTACATCAATTATGTTAAGATAAGAATTTTAGCGCAACGTTGTTCTATGGAAGCTATTTTTAGTACGAACAAATTTTTTTTTTCTTTTTCGTCAAGGTGAGCATACGTATTGTTTTCCTTAAAGTCGTAAGTTCAAATCCCTAGACCCAGACATTTATTGTACTAAAACGCTAAAGTTTGTGTAACTTTTTAAACAACGAAGAAGCTGATGTGGCTAAAATAAATGTCACAGTATGACCACTTTAGAAATTTCATCTATGGAAATATCTTATTCTGCAAATGGTAAAGTTTTGAATGGATTGCAATTGCATATTACAGTAAATAAATGCCATTAACACAACATAGGCCTTCCACTACCCACCAAGCATTAATTCCAGTAGGGTCCAAATTATTGGATTTTTATTTATTTATTTTTAATTCAAGTGGCTATGTCTTATTTTCTACCGTTTCACTCCATAAAAATCTATATTTCTAGATTAGATTCTTTCATATATTAAAATTCAGTTTAAATTTTATTTTGGTCCCTCCTGCAATTTTGATTTCAGTTCAATTTTAGTCCAGGTATTTACAATTTTGGTAGCACTTAAACCTTAAAAAAAATTTCAGTGTTGAGGAGGAGATTCGAACTCACCTCTTGATTGGAGGTGATGTCAATTACTGCTAAGCTATGCTTGTTTTAACCCACTTAAATCTTAAAATTATTTTATATTTTTGTAACAAATATTCACATAATTCCATAAACCAACGGAATAAAGTTTCCATTTTTAGCCCTATATTTGAGGACTAAATTTTAACTCTCAAATTTTTATATCATTACATTAAACCCTCGAGTAAATGGTAAAATCCACCCTAAAAATCCAATTATAATATTACCCACAAATTAACCAATAAATAAAATGAAATCCAACCCACAAAACACTCAAAATCAAGCAATAGAAATGCTCAGACCCAACCATAAAATCTTAACCTAGTAAAATAAGAACCTTAAATGCAACTAAGGAGATATACAACATGATTAGAAGAATGAATACCTACAAAAATAATCTTGTCGATCCACAAGAAAACTAATAGCTAGCAAAAACAAAATTTATATATAAAATGGCAACTTGACTAACGTATTAATTTTACCACTTATTCAAGAATCTAATTTAATAAAATTAAAAGTTTAAGATTAAAACTTTTTCTCCTCATTTCAAAATAACACAACCCTACAAGCCCCTCTAGATTTTTCTTTCAAAGAAGGCATCAATGTTATTTAAAAAGATAATAATAAAAATAAAATCAAGTTCGAGCATATTTTTCTACAAAACTTTAGTCAAATTCAAATGGAAGTATGCAAAGAAAATCCCTGAAGATAAACTTGCTGCTCTCTCTCTCTCTGTGTAATGTTTTTGGCCTTTTGAAGAGTCAAAAGTTTCTGTACGTTTCTGTCTCCCTAGTGGGAGTTCTTCCTCTGGAAGATATTGCTATTTTGACCACTTTATGATTAATAAAAAACAGCAATAACACTATACTTCAATTCAAACCATCATGAAATTGAGAAACTGCAGCAATTCTCTTCTTTATTCTCCTCTTTTGTTACTTGACAATTATAGATCAGATTCATTCCAACATAAAGCTTTTTCAGTTATTCATGATCTGTTAAAATACTGCAGGACTTACCTTGTGAACTTTATGCTACATCATTCTTGGAGAGCCAATTCCAATTTTGGAGCACCCGATCCGACGTGGCAATGCTTGATCTAGGTTAAATACGAATCTCTTTCCATGAAGATGAATAGCTTGATCCTTTCAACCAAAAACCGATGCTGTCTTCAATAGGCATTTCAATCACCTGGAGCATTGAGAATTTGAATGTTGTTTGACTAATTTAGAATAAATTCTCACAAGTTCTTAAAACGCTTTCCTTATTTTTCCCGTTCCCCATTGGTATATTTTATGAACATATCTTTGAAGATATAATGCATGACTGTAACTAGCATTAATGTCTTGTTCCCACCCATTATTACTAGTAGGGAGAAAATTTAACTGCTCACTAGTAAAACCAGCTCGTATCTGTATGTAAATATGGTTTCAATGATTAAGAAAACTTACGGGTACTCTACATGCGCCTGAGGATCATCAATCCAAAACCGATGCCCAGAAAAGTAGCAATTGCGATACCGAAAATGCCAGCAAGAATAGCAGGAACCACCAAAGGTCTCCAACCCTTGGCAGTTGCCATTCCACATGCTGTTGTTGGGCCTCCAATATTGGCATTTGAAGCAAGAAGCAAGAGCTTTAGTTCAATGCTGAATAGCTTTCCAAACCCAAGAATTACAGCAAGATGGACTGTAACTTGAACTAGAGCAAACAGGAAAATACTTGGTGCATTGTTGATGACATTCCATATACTCCCACTAGCACCAACAACGGTAAAAAATACCTGTCAAAGTCATTTGAACCAGCCAAATTTGAACCTTCAGGTGTTTCTCATTTAACTTTAAATCTCAGGTAATATTCATTTTTTACCCAGCTCTACAAGTGACAAAAGCTTCTGTTGAGAATATTTCAGATGAGCTCTGACTTGACCATAGCACCTAAAACTTTTTAACTATGTTAATGGAAGCTTAAAATGCATAACCATGGGACAAACAAATTTTCCTTTCATGTGTACTATTGACAAGTCATTTGAAACGCTGTGGAAATAGAAGTAATATTTTAAAAACTGCTTGACGAAAATACAAACACGTGTATGTGACCAATAAGCTAAGAAGACATTGTTTATCAGATGAGCTAAAAGTATGTGAATAAAAAGTGGATTAGAATAGATTGGAGGAAAATTCTTATCACAAACAAAAGTTTCTTGTTTGAAAATGAAGTTACTAAAATACGTGCAAAATATATATATTTTTATTTTTTTTTTTGCAAAGAAGTGTCCTTGTGACATTATTGCTTAGACCTTGATAACCAGTTTTAGTTTTATGTTATTGAAAATTATACTTGTTTGGTCACAATTTCTTTGGTATGTTTTCACTCTCTAAAGAATACATTTAAACTTTCGGCCAAATTTGAAAATCAAAACAAGATTTTGAAAACTACTTTTTTAGTTTCAAAATTTAAAATCTTATAACAGTTTCAAAAAGCATATGCAAGACAAAAAAATATAGGTGAAAGTAGTGTTTACAAGTTTAATTTTCAATTTTATCAAATGTCTCCGAAGGGACTACAAGTTTAATTTTCAAAAATAGAAAACCAAACACAAAATGATTATCAAACGAATTTATTTATTCTATTTCTCACATATAATGACCGACGGCTATTGTATTTTATTTATTTATTTAGGGTCCCAATATGTACTATTCTACCAAAGTTATATCAATAGCTCCTTGAAACCTTCCCCCACCCTCTCAGTTTGCAGTGGAGATAAATAAAAGGGAACCAAATCCATATGGCAAGACAGATCAAATGCCTAATTTTGCGGTGAGAAAATTGAAGTGTTCTCTACAGTATTAAGAAATTATATGCGATGGTTATGCAGGAATAGAAAGTGGTGGACAAGATTTCATAAGAGATGCACCTAACTAAGTCTAAAACTGCATACCTGCATAAGAATCAGGGCAATGGTATCTCCAGCGGGTGCTAAATAACTGAACTGTTTTGGGAAAACTGTAGCTAAAAAGACGACTACTGCAGTTATCCCAGGAAGATTGGCACCTTGAATTCCATATATATTTGTAATCCATGTAACAAACTTGCATATTGCTAATGATGTAACAATGGCAGTAGCAGTGTGCAACACAGGGAGCTTCGTGCCATGATCAGAGTCCGTATTGATTGAAACATCTGGTAAAGTTTTCAGGTTTTGAATGAGAAATCAAAGATATGGTATTATGAAATCAGGAATTGTACTATGCTATTTTTCTCCCATAACTTTAAACATGGTTAGTGCTGCAACTGCAGGATAGTTTTTTGTTAATTTGAATGTTAGACACAAATTCAGATTTTCTGAAAATTATTTGCATGAAACTAAATCTAGAAGGAACTATGTACCGTCAGTTGATGTTGCAGGTTCGGGAGATATACTAGAAGCCAATGCAAAAAGGGCCACAAAGTATATAGCACAGATGACATTGTCAGCAGCCACTCCTGCTGCTAAAACTGATGGAGAAACACCAAGAGCCTCTGAAATTGCAACATAATTAACAGCTACATAGATCAACCAGGAAGAAAGACCAAAGAAGAAAAAAGAGTAGGGTCACATTAACCAGGTATATCAAATCAAAAATATCAGATTGATACTAGATCAGTAAGATGTATATTGTGTCCGAGTTCTAGATGACTTTAAATATGGTGGATGACCGGTAAAATTTTCAGTCCCTCCCACAAACAAAATAAGTGTACCATCTAATTTTGGCATGGTAAAAGAAAATCATTGCTATTGCTACAATTTCTGTTTAATAAATTTACATTACCATGGATAATTGTGGGTTTGTGCACTATCAATATTCAATACGAATGACAGAGTTCACATATTCATTTCTTCGACATCCTTAAAATACTTTATAGTATAGTCCTACATGCCAACATCCAGATAGTAATCAAGAAGAGAAAAATATAGCCATCTTGCTTTGCACTATTACATTAGTTGGATAACAATATTTTTTCATATTAACTTCCTGAAGGTAGCAATTTTAACTTCAGTATCAAGAATTTAAATTCCACTTCGATAAAAGATCTTCCAGTTTCATCAAGGCTCTAAAAATCCCTTGCTTTTTTGTTTCCTTTTCCAATAACAAACTAACAGGGAAAAAATAGACAAAAAGCAATGTAGTAGTGGTCCCCAAACGTCTCTGTACCAATATAAAGGAAAGGGCAGATGTTTCTTATCCAAAAAAATAAAGGAAAGGGCAGAGGGATTGGATTTACAACAAGAATCTTTGCCACTAATGGGGCTGCTTATCCCTATGATGCTGACAGGTTTTGGTATCATTCAATGAAAAGCAGTTATCCCAAGTTAATTTCATCTAGTCTGGTTTCTGTCATAAAGGCCTCACTTGAGAAACAAATACAGAAGAAACAGAGCTAAAACTTTCTGACAACTTACATCCACCAATATAACTACCCATGAGAGCAGCAGCTATTTTCCAATTGTCAGGACCAAGTGATCTCATAGGCACCATGAGAAATGCCACAACAGTTCCTATCATAGTTGAAACTGCAATCCATAGTAAAGAAATCAGTTAAAAGAAGCATGCAAATTTTAAAATAAAATAGTGAATGACCCTGAAATTTCAATTCGTGAAATTAGGTTCTCAAACGGCTATTTTAATTGCAAGACCCATCAATTTATGGTTGTTCTTTGAGTTCTTACTCATATATTTCAGGATGTGTGACTATCTTTCTGAATCTCTGTCTTGTAACTCACATGACATATCTCCCTAAACTTTAATTGTTCATCTTTTATTTATTTACATTAATTCATCTAGCTTTCAAGAATTTTCCCAATTTCAAACTTTATGCAACGGTAAACACTATAAAATGATAATTTGAAGTTGTCATGGACTTTGAAATATACAATATATATATTTAAAAAAAAATAGAGCAATTTGAATTGAAAAGAAAAGAAAAGAATATGGAGAAGTTTTCTTACAATTTTACTGTTAAAACAGTACACATCTTTTTCCAAATGTGGTATTTTTCAGAAAATAATATATTTTCTGTTTAGAACTTGGATCTAAGTTGATTTGTGAAACCAAAGTCCAGGGAGGTGAAAAAATCAAAAAATTTGATAGACAATAAACTTAGTGAAAGTAAAACTAGTAGAGCAGAGAAGACCGTGGAGACCTGAAAAGATCTCATAGTTCAGATCCATTGTAGATTAGTAGTTGGAAGGGGAAAGTACGAAAATCATGGCATGGCTTTTCTATAAACAAAGATTGCTTTGATTTACAGACAGACATATTAAATTTGTGCACAAGAGTATTAAGTTCTATATTGCTGTAAACTTTTTCAATTACAGGTTTGAAATTATTATTCATTATTTATCTTAAACAGCAATAAGTTAGCATAAGATTATTACTGATGAAAATAATTAGGAAATAATAGATTAACTAGTAATTTTGAAACATGAACCTCTAAATTCTTGAGAAAACAGGTTGAATAATGAATTACTAAGCCAGTGTTGGTGCTAAACAAAACTCTATCAAGAAACTCATGACAAATATATTACCTGATCCAAGCAGGAAAACTCCAAGCAATGTTCCAGTTGATCGGATTACGTGACGCAGGCCTGCTCGAAATAGAAGCAATGGAACAGATAATGGAAGCAGAAATTGCAGGACGATTGAATAAGGTAAGGCTTCATAAGGGATTATGCCAGAGTTACTGGCAGCCAAGCCAACCAAAGTGCTAACCAAAGCAGCACTCACTGTGCTACCAATCTTGGTCTTCTCAGACCTTTCAACCCACATTCACAGAGTTCACCCATATTAGCTTACATACAAACTAAATCTTTAATGGTCATTAAAATAAGCTAAAAGAGTAAGCAAAATGTAAGCCTAACAATCTTTTCATTCCTTTTTTTCCTTTCTTTTCCCTTTTTTCTATCTTCACTGGTCATCCTGATCATTTGCAAGACTTAATTAATGTAAAAGAAGCAGAGTCATAGAAAAATCAAAAGGATAATTCAAGATTAACACTAAGGGTGCAATTGGTTTGGGGTCCAAAAATAAGGATTTGAAAACAACAAATTTAATTTTAAAAAAAAGGGTGAATACATGTTTCACTCTCGTTTTTTTTTTATTTAGTCTTTATTGTATAAAATTTTTCAATTTAATCACTTACATTTAAAAATTTTTCAACCATACTCTTTCCATCGGTAAATATTGAAATTGATTGATAATAATCAGCGGCGGATCCAGGATTATATGACGGGACCGGGGGCACTGGATTTTAATAAAATACTATATTTAAACGTGCTTTTACTTGGTTAAAAGCAATTTTACCACTATTTAAAATTTTAACCCAATACTACCAATTAAAAAAAAAGTACTTTTAATCTTTTATAAGAACTCTAAAATGCATTACAAACACACTGTAAGTATCATGCTAGGTAAGAAAACAAAATTAGGGCAACTAAACCCTCTCTTCTAACCAGTGTCACTAGTGTTCTCCAGCATTTTCAGCGGGTTGCTTTGCTTGTAATAATCCTCTCCAGAACAAACACAATCCAACACCAAGAAATAAATCCCATATGTCCTACAATGTGCTTTAGATTGCGAGTCACAATCGAAATCCAATTTGGGCGAAACAAATAAGACGGAAGAGAAAGTACCAGAGCCCCAATGCGCCGATAGCAAACAAAGCAGTCCATGTGCCCCAGTGGTCATCCGGCGCAATAATTGGATGCCTCAGCTGCGCCATAACCTTCACAGACCGAGTCCGAGTCCGAGTCCGAGTACGAGTCGAGTTCCTGTAGCCAGAGGAAGACGAAGGCGAGAGAAGCTCTTCATTGGCGTTTACTCTCCGTAATGAGGATTTAGCAGGAGCAGAGTGGCGGCCATGGCGAAGAGGGAGAAGCGAGTGAGGGCGAAGTGATGGTAGTTGCAGCAATGGAGAATGAGGCGCGAACATGGCTGAGTTCTTTATCGAGGACGCCATTAACGATGGAGTGGCCAAAGAAATTTATCAGTTACCATTTTTCACTTCACAGATAATGGAATACAACGGACAAAGCTACCTTACAAACTACAGAGTGGCCATTTTTTATGTTTTTTCCTTTTTTTTTTCAATTCGATATATTTCTTAAAATATAATTTTTTTTGATTATTTGTAGAATTTGTATTAAAATTTTTAAAATTAAAGACTAAAATAATCACTTTTAAAAAGATAGAGACTAATGATGTGTTTGAGAGTGATTTTGACCACCTTTTCATTGATCGTGTTTACTAAGTATCACTTTAATGGTAGAATGAACCAAAATAGTATTAAAATCTTCTAATCTTCTAAATTTGTATGTTATTTTTTGAAATAGTAACTAGTGACCAATCCATTGAATTAGGATATTTTTAATAGGAACAAAAACATTTGTCATATTGGTCAATATAGCTACAAATTGATTTTACAAATATGACAAAAAAATAATAATAAATAAGATTTTTTATTTTTTATTTTTTGTTATTCCAATTTTATCTTATTGATATGATATATTTCATATTAAGTATATTAATTATATAACTTTACAATTATATAATTTGACACTAACTAAATAACACTAAATAAATAATATACTTTATTATGCAATCTTGATAAACCCTCAAATTAAATATTTTAGTTTAAATAACATCATAAATTTTTTTATTGATATATCAAGTATATCAATGATATAATTTATTTTCGGTATACCTTAAGAGACAGCAACCTCTACGTCCTCGAGAGATTATGCGACAACGCTCGTGGAAGGCACCATGCTACCTATATCATGTCACGGGGCAAATTCCCAATAGATTTTTTTTGCCTTCATGCGACACCAAGGCCCCAACCTTAGTCAACCTACTCACACCTTAATGTTCACAACGTATAGTTAGTGCGGAATCAACACTTCACCTCAACTCTCAGTGACTCACAACCTCTCACATGGTTCACACAACCCTTGTTCAAGTAAGGCACATTTGACATGTACCGCATGCACACGTTAAGTATCAATACAACACACACCCATAAGCTTAAGTATCAACACAATACACACCCATAAGCCATAAGCCAATCATACGAGAACTTCTTTCCCAATCTCTATATACAGGATATATATTACAAAGCATGTTCATCTCTGCACTAACACAACTTTAGAATAAGAAGACCTCTCATGACCTCCCTTTGTTTGACTAAGTTTACAAGAGACGCAGCTCCAACACCCCGTTGGACCTTGATGAACAACATTTCCCTATAAAGAACTTGGCCCTCCCTAGAGGAATCCGCTAGCGTGCTTACACTCTCGTATAACTTGGACTCAAATATCCAGTTCTCGTATGATTTATGTGTTAAATCATTTATTTACTAAATCAATTTCTACCAAACCTTCATTGTCAAAAAAATAAAATTGAAAATGGCACAAAAACCTAGGAAGAGAACTACATATATAACCTTGAAAGTGTTTATACGTGCCTTGGAACCCATAATTTGAGAGCATAAAGGATCAGGCTGTACGAAAATCAGCATCATATTAAAGTGAAAATTATGCATCAGATTTGCCTATAAGACGTTTATGACAGTAAAAGGGATGTGAGTAAATACAACCTACCAATCTCACAGCTTTCTTCAACATCAGGATGTTTTGAGAGGCTTATCAATATTATCTCTGCAACTGATGTTATCTTGCTTCTGTTTTTTCACACGAGAGCTCGAGCTCTCCGCCTCTCCTTCCAGAGCTCTCAATTTATTCTTTATGGCAGCAATTTTATCAGTGCGAGTCATCTGTCCATAATTGCTGCCACCAAGTCTCGATTTGCTCGACTCGCCTGCTGCTCGGGAAATACTTTTTGTTGTGTCGATCATGCACTTCTCACTTGCAAGGCGTACAACCAACGGGCGACCACAAGCTAATTTTCCATGCATCTTCTCTTTAGCCAATTTAGCTTCCTGCATACTCACTTTTACAGGCAAAAATAAGGAATTGCTTGACAAAGGCAATGAAGTGGCTAACCAAGCAACTTACCTCCTTGGAGCTGTATTCAATGAAAGCGAATCCCCGTGGCTCTCCACGCTTCGGACCGCGAGTGTGCCACAGGAAATCCTCAGATATTATCTTCCCAAAAGGAGAGAACATTTTAATGAGAGTCGCTCTGAAACAAGTAGATACAAACTTCAATATAGAAAAGGAAAACTAGAAGACAAATACATTGCAGAGGGTGGGACAATAATTTTCCTTACTCTGTAATTCTGAGGTCAAGATTACCAATATAAAGTTTGCTTTCGCACTTCTCATCAACAAAACCACTTGAATCCTGAGAAGTCATTCCATAAAAAATGAAAATAGTCATATCATCACATCTAGAATAAATGTACAGAACCCCATTAAATGCCACCACATAAGCAAAAACGTTGTCAATTTTAAAGGCTTTTGACAAAAGAAAAATATACTCATAAAAATTCAGAACCTGCGTTGACCTATTAGATTGAGAACTTATAGTTTAACCCTATATTTAATATTAATGGAGATTTCACAACTGGAAACAAAATATGACTGGACTAAGCACATGAAGGCTCAAGAAATAAACATAAAACTAAAAGGTTCTTATCCAATATGTTATCGTATCATAATGTACATGGTTGAAGTATTGTACAATAATGTGAGTCTGTTGGGTTGGATGGCGATGGAGCAGCTTACAAGATTTGGTGGCAAAGATTGACCTAACAACAATGCTTTTTTTCAATCAAGCAGGTAAACATTTAATTAATTATAACATGAATGATTCCAGTCTGGACAGTCTTGGAAAAAAAACACCAAAGTATTTTTGATGATGTTCCAAGACATTTTACAAGATTCAGAAGTAAAACCAGTGCCCAAGACTTCACCACTCTAAAAATCTCTTCGTCTATTATGTTCTGCCCAAGTCTGTCTGACACTTAATTTTTTAGCACTCAGGTAAGAATCTTTCCCACTGTATTTACCGTACGGTTGTTGGAAAAAGTTCAAAATTCAAGCTAAATCCCCTAGTAGACAATTAAATTCCTCCCATCAAAAGTGAACACCTCAGAGATTAGATTTACCTTTCTCCGATCAACCACAACTTGTAGGAAACATCTCCCTACCTCAGCCATTTTTGTTTGCATCTCTATCTTCAAAAAGTTTCCTTCTTACTGTGTCATATCAAGAAGACAATTTTTAAGGTTGAATCTGTGGTTAATGTTCTTCACATCCAACCTGCCTCTTACAATTAATCTTTAGAGCGGCCCAACAGTCCACAATCAACCCACAGTAAATCCCTCTCATAATCATGCCCCCACTTGGGTCACAATCCCACATAACCGAGCTCGACTGATTGTGCTGATTGTAATTCAATTGTAGAGTGTCCTCTCGGCATTGTTCCCCCTTTAGATCTAAACAACCTGATTCGAACTCATGACCTCTTGGTCAGAGACAGGTGTCAACATGAGGTCATGAGTTCAAATCAGAAAATCCAGAAACACTATTTTGTCCTTAAGCTCTTTCATTTGAGTAAACACATAGGCGAACATCTATCTATTCCAGCACTTAACTTCTCCTTGAGAGTGGTTTTCGACTTTAGCATAACTACATGACCCAACCAGCCATCGAACATCAAAGTTTTCCTGGGACGGTAGTGAAAAAATAATAATGATAATAATAAATAAGGGGAAGAAAGAGGGGTGGTTAAAGCCACTATCCACATATATATTTTCATATCCGTGAGTGACCGGGCCAGCTTGCGCGCACCTCGACTAATCTCACTGGGCAACTGTCTGACCCTACAACATTTGGCGTCGGAAAACACATAGGAATTACTAATTCCTGAAGTAGGTGGCCATCATGGGGTTTGAACCCATTCCCTCTTAATTAACTCTGGCCCCTTTGGACCAATGAGCCACCCATGATGGTTCTATCCCCATGTATTTTAAAGAACAAAAGGGAGTAGAGCCCCAATTTCAACTCTGAGTTTCAAATAGAATGAGAAAGTAATTTGCAGTTACCCTTTCATTCAAGTACCTGACAGTTACCCCCGATGAACCATATATAAATTTTCCACCATACTTTTCAGGATACATTGTCTCGCACCAGAATAAATATTTTGCCTCCATTCAAGTGGCCGTCCCCACCAGAAATATTGACAATTTAAATTGGAGGACGAGTAAAGGAGCTAATGTGGGTACAGTCAATTGCATGATTTCAAACAAATAACTTGCTTAATTAACAGTGCGCAACTTTATAATTAAAAAAAAACTAAGCACAGGTTAAGGGTGATAATCAAGCGTAGTTAAGCATCCAATAGTAATTGATAATTCTATGGATGATATTGAGGACTTAAAATCTAGGCTAACTAGAAGTGGTCCCCTAATCTTTATGGCTTTTCTCAATTTGGTCCTCAATCTTTTAAAATTCTTAATTTTACGCTGAATGTATTAAAAATTCTCAATTAGATCCTTGCATAAAGAAATTCTTTAAATTATGTTTACATAAAAGCTAATATATCATTAAACTACTGTTTAATTTTTTTATTAGCATATTTCAACACGCGAGCATGCCACTTAGACATGCCACTTAAAAAAATGGATTTTGTCAATTGGCTGGTCAGATCACGCTGACAAGCGGGTTGAGTTAGGTATCAAAATTCAAATAGCATTCAAGTTGCAAGATAACGTGTCTAAATATGTTAATAAAACAATAATTTAATGATAAATCATCTTTTTGTTAACAAATTTTGACAAAGATTTTATAGAATGACCTAATTGAGAATTTTTAATACATTAAGGGTAGAATTGAGAATTTTAAAAGATTATGGACCATCTTGCATATTCAGCCTAAAATTATATCCAAATTCCAATTAAATGAAATTGATAGAAATATCTAGTAGTAACACTAGAAGAGAAAGTGATAACATTGTATAAGCACAAAACATCAAGCAGCTATTATCCAGCCACCAAATAAAGGATTCGAAACACCCAAAAAAAAAAAAGGTATATAAATACCAGATTCCAATATACAATTTAAGATAATATTTTGACTGAAATACTAAAAGTGTAATGGTCAAAAGTAAGTGAATGCATAAAAAGTAGGACAAGTAAATAGTAATATACCATAACCATGAGATAACAAGTCAGAAAGTTCAGTTCCACGAAGTATAGGACTTTGACTAGACTTTCAGCATATCTGCAGGAATTTGCATATAATAGAAGTACAACTTTAACAAGATTTCTTCTCTGGAGACGTACAAATTTATGTAAAATACTTAACTGAATTGAAATAACAAGGGGTTTCAGTTAGAGACGATGAAAAATTATGTTCAAATTTTTTTAGTACAAAACAGAAACATATACCAAACACTTATTCTAGAAATAAACAAAAAGAACCCCCATGTGGCCATGTATTGATAAGACAATTTTGGAGCAAATATTAATCTTATCTAGTAACATCAGTTTTCAACTACAATTTCATAATCATAAGAATCAAGAGGCTAAACTTTTTTTTTCATTGAGATAAGAATAAAGGAACACAAATGGGCATACAAACAGACAGCCCTAACAAAAGAGCCAAACTAAATAAAAAAGGGCTCCAATCTAACAAAATGAGACCTAACCAATAATTAAAAAAGTCCTAAACCACCAAGGCCCAAAGAGAAACATGAAATCTAACGAGAAAACAGGCCTCCTCCCAAGATCTCTCCACCCCTCTAAAAATTGTAATATTTTTTCCCATCCACAAACCCCATAAAATGGCACAAACTCCAACGAGCCAAAGAAAACGTCTCTTATCATGAAAGGGTGAGAAAGTGAGCAACTCCACCAGCGCACTACCAGCTCTAGGACAAATGAGGCTGATACCAAACTCAACAAAAAAAACTATTCTAGACCAAGTCGGGAAATGGCAATTCCAAAGAAGATGACCGAGTGGCTAAAGTTTAGTACTTTGCCGTCTAAATCCCTATGCTTTCCCTCAAATTCAATCTACTTTCCAAGGTATGCATTCTTGTCCAATAATATACGAAGGTATTAAAAAAATGAAACCCGTAAAAACAATCACATTCATTCAATATGTATTGGTATTAAAATAGTTGAAATTCTTCTCTTACCCTCTTTCACTTCCGAGGAAGATCCTAGTAATGAATAACTGACATTTTCTGATCAAAAGATGAATAACTGATTTTTTGATCATACAATGCTCAACTTCAGAGATATATATATATATGTATATATCTTAACTAAAGGTTATGGTTTTGGGTATAGGAACTCCAGTGGATTGGGTGGTGTGGTTCGATAATATGCCAATAGAATTCTTTCCTCGTCCAATCCCTAGTCCAAAAAAAAAATATTGAAATAAACCCTTTTTTCCTATCTCATTCCGAGATGTCACATATGTAAAACTCATTGCAGAATTAAAAGCAGATTTATCACTAACATAAAAGATTAGTGATCGTACCAAATCAAAGTGGAAATTAGAACTATATGGTAATTAAACGAGTTTAACTTTGGACACAGCAATTCGAGATCAAGAAGACGAAAAAGAGAACTCTCTAAATCTCCATCACGAAACAGTAAGCAAGATGAGAAAGGGATCGATTCCAGTGAAAACCCTAGAGGGTAGAGATTGGAGTAAGAGGAAAATCGAATGCCGCGATAGTGAAGCTGATCGGAGAAGGAAAAACTTACAGATCAAAGCATAAAACGCAACTCAGAAGTTGGATTGTTGCCCACTTGAGCGTAGCGACACTCGTAGGCCGTCCAACAGAACGATATTGGGAAATTGGAAATTTGGAACTCCGGAAGTTCTAATTACATTCCCTCTCAAACGACATGTCGGAGACGATTATAATTTAGGGCAAACGGGATAATTGGGATTTTTTTTTTCTTTTACTATTACTAATATTTTAAATTTATTTTTAAAATAATGCTAATTCAAAATTTAGTTCAAAATTAATGTTTTAAAAATGTCTCGGCCATCGAGAAACTAAATCCATTTCAGTAACATAGCATTGTATGTTATGTAGTCAAGTTGTAAAAAAAAAAAAAAAAACGTCATGTTGTCAAGAAACGACATAGGCTTACTTTATAAATAATGTTAGTTTGGTAGAGTGGCTTCACAGCCACGTTGTCAATTTAAAGGTCCTAAGTTCAAACTTTATTACTCTCGTCATTTTTCTTTGTTAGCATTATTGTAATATTTTATTTTAGGAGATAAAGTCAAAATAGGGATTTTAATAAGTAAAACTTATTACAGTTTGTTTTAGAAAAATTAGAATAGAGAAGTTGCTTCCACTCTTGCTTGCACCTTAGCTAGATTTTTTTTTGTGCATATTTACATGGTGTGTTAGTTGATGCACCATTCTCTTAAATCTCACCATGACAGTTCTCTTATCGACCCTTGACATGGTTTGATAGACGATTCATGCATGTCAACCATCACTTGTCCAGTTTGTGGGCGTCACAATATACTATCTCTTCTAATATGGTTGTGACACAAAGCAGGTGATCATCTCTTTCTGATTTAAAAAAACAATGTCACCAAATGACATGATGCTATTTTTTAAAAAATAACAACTTAGTGGTGGAGAAGTTTTTCGAAATATTGTTTTTGGAATAAGTTAGGGGTGGTATTATTTTGAAATTAAGTTTCAAATTTAACAATATTAAAAACAAATCCGTCATTTTTCCTCATCTATTTCTTTTTCCTCTCTCTACACATAAATAAATTATAAAAGTCTAAGGATTTAATTTCTATAATTAAAAGTTTAGGTATGCTTTTTTTTCATTTTGGAAAGTTGGAAGATTTGATTTTTACAATTAAGAAACATTTATTTTTGACGGGGTAAATCAGTGATGTGAAAAGGGAAGTAGTAGAGGCACACATAAAATTTAAAAGAATCGGAATAATTAGATTTTCTATACTCTCTGTGAAGACTGAGTATTTAACCAAAAGTGGGAAGGGGGCGATCCGTAGTCTACTCCTCTCCTCTCCTTCTCCTCTCCACGAAGGGAGTGTGTTTTCTCTCAGTCTACTGAGTTTTTTCAGATGGTGTTTTATCTCTGATTTGTTTCGGTTTTTTCGTAGTTTTTTGTCAATAAGTAATTAGTATGGATCAAAATATAATAAAGAATTATCTTGCTGTTGTGGAGACGATTTTCGAGGAGGATTCTTCTTCCCCACTGGTTTCTGTGATGGCGGACGGTGGCCGAGTGTCAGGAATCTCCCTGAAGGATATTGATAGTGTCATTGCGGCTAATGAAATCAAAGGCTACATTGTAATGCCTGAGTGGTTTCGTAGTCTAGGTGTTTTGAAGAGTTATCAGGCACATAATTGGAGAAGACACCTGCAATCATTTTGGATGACTCTTTATCTTTGTTGCATCTTAGTTTAAAGAACTTCCATGGTCCATGGGCAAAGAAGACAGAGCAAAAGGTGGGCGACGACGAAGGTGCGACGACAATTACCTCGAATACCGTTTTGGAATCTACGGGGCTATTAATCTTAATTGCATTAAGATCAGCGTGATTTGGGGAATTTGTCTAATCTTTCCTCGATCATGGTAGAGAATAAGACAACTTTGTAGGTAATTATCCCAACTGTGAATAGGAGAGTCATAATTGATCAGATTACTCTATTAATTAAGACTGTTGTGACTTTGGAGAAAATGTTTATTGGGTTAAAATTTGTTCACATTCCTAGTTATTCGAACAGACAAGTTGTTTTATCGACCAAGTGAGTCGTTTTTTATCATTGCTCTGTCATATGGGACAATTGATTTTCTTAGTGGATTGTGATAGTGATTAATGATCAACTCTTCTGATGTAACCTTTAGTGGTCATGTTTATTTTTAATGTATTTCTTCTTCTTCCATTTTTTTTAAATACCTATATCTAATTTAAAAAAAAAATCTAAAATTGTAACTAGTTTGTACAATTTACCTTAAATTATAACTGTCTCCTACGTGTCAATGACGGGAAGATTTTTCTAAATGATTTGATATTTACTTTGTTCAAATTACAATTCGACTTCTTGAGGTACAAATGATTTCAAGTTGTTCTTAAATTAAATTAATCATAATTATTACTTCCTCTAATGGAAGGTGACATGGTAATTAAGTAGTGACTTAATGCAAAATTTCATGTCTAATAATCATAATTACTACTTCTTCTAGAAGGAGGAGACATACAATTAAGTAGTGACGAGATGTTACTATAATTTTATGTGTAATAGGTCAAAGCTCAATGGTATATTGACATATACTTCAAACGAGGTTGAGAGTTTGATCCCTCACCTCATATATTGTACTAAAATTTTTTTTATGTATAATAGAAGAACGACATCTTTTTGCAAACTATTCCAAGTAAATTGAAAGTGTATAGCTTGTAATTTGATTACATTTATATACTATTTTGGTCACTGTAATTTTGATTTTTGTTCATTTGGTTGGATTATATATTTTTTTATACATTAATTTTGGTTCATGTAATATTAAAATGTTCATTTTCATTTATATATTTTCAATTTTTCTCATTTTAGTCAATATTTTTCAAAACGTCTATTTTAGTTCATATATTTATAAAAAGGGATCTTTCATTCTCATCTCAATCTATTTTTTTAATCATAATTTTAAAATGACATTTTATAGCGATCATATTTTAAAATTACATGAATTATACATTTAAAAATAAATGTTTTGAAATATATAAAAATGGAGTAAAATCAAAATTATATTTTCCTTCATCATTTTTGTTTGAAATCTGTTTCCCAAATTATCTCCAAAATATCTCTCATCCTTCTCGCAGAGCAAAAGTCAGAGTCACAGTCGCAGGTTCTCTTCCACTGTCTCAAAGGAAGCAATTTCCTTCATATTTGCCCTAATTTTTACTCTCCATTTTCGTCTCTCGCTCTCTTCTGTGAGGGCAATGCTAATCCTTCAACTCCTCCCCAAAATTCCCAATCCATTCTTCCACCCATCCATCGATTTCAATCCTTTTCACTCCAAAACCCTAAGATCCCCAATTCCCACCCCTAAAACCTTCTCCAAATCCTACTCTTCTACCGCCGTCAAATCCGTCCTTCAATGGAATCGGAAGCCCGAGCTCGCCGGTGACACTCCCCGCGTCGTCGTCATCACCTCCGGCAAAGGCGGCGTCGGCAAGACCACCACCACCGCTAATGTTGGCATTTCCTTGGCGCGCCTCGGCTTCTCCGTCGTCGCCATTGATGCGGACGTCGGCCTCCGCAATCTCGACCTCCTTCTAGGCCTTGAGAATCGTGTCAATTACACGGTTGTGGAGGTTCTTAATGGGGATTGCCGGCTAGACCAGGCTCTGGTGAGGGATAAGAGATGGTCCAACTTCGAATTGCTTTGTATTTCCAAGCCGAGATCCAAGTTGCCGATTGGTTTTGGTGGGAAAGCCTTGGTTTGGCTTGTGGATGCGCTGAAAGCTAGGCAAGAAGGTTGCCCGGATTTCATTATCATCGACTGTCCTGCTGGAATTGACGCCGGATTCATTACTGCCATTACGCCGGCCAATGAGGCGATTCTTGTAACTACACCGGATATCACGAGCTTGAGAGACGCCGACAGGGTGACTGGATTGCTGGAATGCGACGGAATTCGGGACATAAAGATGATGGTGAATCGGGTTAGAACAGATATGATCAAAGGGGAGGATATGATGTCTGTGCTAGACGTACAAGAGATGTTGGGATTGGCTTTATTGGGTGTAATTCCTGAGGATTCGGAGGTAATTCGCAGCACAAACAGGGGGTACCCTCTGGTCTTGAACAAGCCACCTACATTGGCGGGTTTGGCCTTTGAGCAGGCGGCTTGGAGGCTTGTGGAACAGGACAGTATGACTGCAGTGATGGTCGAGGAGGAGCCAAAGAAACGCGGCTTTTTCTCATTCTTTGGAGGCTAAGAGATCAAATTCTCTGCAGAGAAAGGTTCTCTATATCTGCTCTGATCTTAAGGGGCAATGTATAAATTGGAGTAGAGGGATTTTGGTAGTGTTAGAGGAGCTGCTGCGACTGCTACTATTTGTTCAAGAGGAGATCCTATGGTGAGTTGTTATGTATAGTTAGTATAATTCTGATTCTCTTGACTTGATTGGTAGATACCTAAACGTTAGTTTTAGACTCCTGTTTTTGTGCCTATATTTGTTAGTTGAGAAAGCTTTCACCATCTGTCTTGAGGTTGAAATTTTGTTCTTATGGTAGCTTCAATTGTTCCGAGAGCACTTCTAATGTGATGGAATGAAATCTCTTGCCTTGCTTTCTCAACAACTTTTGTGGTTTGGTCAGTTGTAGCAAATTCCAAAAGTTGGGTTTAGGGGATAAATACTTGTTTCATGTTTTTAGAAAAATAAGTCACACTGGGGGTTGGTGATCTTGTATACTTAACAGTAAAATTCTTTTGTTGTTTGGTCTAGAAGTGTTTTCTATGTATTTAGGATGCTTTTTGAATGTTTGACAAATTACTAAAATAAAATAATTAAAATAAAAAATTATGATGAAAACAATTAATTTTTTTTTAAAAAAAGAAATAAGTGAGGATAAGTGTGTAGAGAAAGATTGGATGTGTGAAAAGACTAGTAGGAGAAATGGTTTATGAAGAGAGAGTTAAGTAGTCTCGTGGAAAATCTCTGACTTTTGAGATACTTTCCAAAAAAAAAAAAAATTGCCACGCCTATTCAAGGCGAGGCACATCTGTTGCGCTGAGCGCTTGGGCGCGCTTTTTAAATCACTGACTATAGCGATACAGAAAGGGTTAAAATCCAAAAGAATAAGTCCTCATGAATAAATACAATAATCTTTGGGAACCAACGTCCAAAGAGAAGCATCAAACGGAGCAAGAGACCGGACATCTTCTCAAGACCTCTCAATCCTTCTAAAATCCTACTATTCCTCCTAAGCCAATTGTCCCACAAAATTGGGAAAGAAAAAAAAAACTAGTTGGCTGAAGGATCCGCCCTTTATCACAAATGGTGGAAATAGAATAAACTCCTACATCATAGAATTTATATACTATATCTTGAAACAACTTTAAAAAAAAACCTAAAATCGAGTATGCAAATAGACAGCTCCGAAGGATATGAACGAGCTCTTGCAAAGAATGCACCATTGCGGTCCTGACAAAAAAGACAAGTGGTCCGAAGTGTTAAAGCCCCCTCCCAAGCTAGACTTTTTAGACAAACAATTTGACCTTCTTGGGGATTTCAACCTTCCAAAGCAAGGAAAAAATGGGGGACTAGGGGAGAGAGGTCGCACAGAAGACGAAAAAGATTCCCAAGAAAACCCTGCAAAAGAATTGAGCCCTGGTAAGGAATATCTTGTCTCCAGATAAAACGGGAAAGAAATTCTCTAGGAAGACAAGTCGAAAGCATAGAATGGAATCTCTCAGAGAAAAAATGGTATATGCGGAGGGAAGGCAGTGCACATAACCATTGTTTTGACATTGTGAGTTAGATTTAACTTTATTAAATATAACAATAAACTTGAATATCAGATGGTTCTTGTTCATGAGATTTATGGTCAGGTGTGGGTATTTTTATGATTGAGCTAAATCATTATTGTAGGTGCTGGCTTTTGAGCCATGTTGAGTTTGTATGATATGGCTGCTAGATTAGAGTTCTTTTTTACTGCTTCAATTCGTGGCTAGGTTAGATGTTTTTTACTAGATTAAGGTCTTTTTGTGGTTAAATTTTGGGTGTCTCGATGGTTGGATTTTAGTTGGCTTTTGTATCAATGTTCTAGTTTGGGTTTTAGGAAAGTATTTATTTTCACTGTAGTGAAATCCAAGCGTCATATAGATGGAGTTGAAACTGCTTATTTAACTAAAGTACAAAGATAAAAATTGGGTTTTTCCCACTAATTTAGGGAAAATAGTTATAGCATTTTCATTAAGGAAAAAAAGAAAAAGAAAAAGAAAAGGGAAGTACAGCAAGGAAGTTGGATACTACAATTATGAGAGTAATGGACTGAAATTCTTTTAATGACTTTATATTTTCTCATTAGGTCTTTTGTTTGAATAGGTATAAACTCTTTTGAACTGCAGATGGGGGAGATGATGCAAATAGGGAAGTTTGTTAGATTTTTAGAGTTCAAGTGAGCCTGCCAATGCTTTTGCTCAATTAATACGCACATCAAAGTTCTTGGCTGAAACTTGTTCTGATTCAGGACATTGCACATGCTATGCTATAATTTTGACATATTCTCTTTGGTTCTTTGGGGCCTTCCTTTTGCTCGTATTTTGTTTTAGGAGTATTCATAGGTTAAGCTTAAAAAGATATATACATAACTTGATTTCATTCAATTGTCTGATTAAAGAACTCTGGTCTCTAGTTGAGTGATCATTTTACCTGATCTAATCTAATTAACAGTGTCTTTACTTCTAAAAAAGAAATCAGTTTTGTGAAATTGCATTTGCTACCAACGATTATGTGCATGTCGTCACCTAACATCCATGTTATTAGGTGGTGCATTTTTGTTTTTTAGAGTTCAACAACATGTGTGGTGGAGATTTGGACTTTCGAAGATGTATGGATTAACTAATTTAGATATGCTCAGGTTGACTATTAGGTAGTGCTTATGATTAGACGTTCAAGCATGATTATTGATTATTGTATAAACATAAATAAGGTAGCAATTTACCATTAAAGTATAATTGAAGGGTGCGATTTATCATTAAATCATTAGTTTTGGTAGTGGTTTATATAAATCATGGTTTAGGCTTCAATTCAACTATCCTATTTTAGTTCTTACTTTGAAAACCACTCTACTTATGTAATTTTTATAAAGGCTAAAAATATGTTTTAGACCATAATGTTAGTGTGTTTTTTCAATTTGGTCGCTTATGTTTTAGCATTTCTCTTAAAATTGGCTAGAGATGAACTTACATGAGACATGATACTGGATGAATTAATTGACAAAATTTAGAGGAAGAAGGTAATCTAGAAGAAGAAATTTTCTAATAAATTGGTAGAAATTTCAACTTTTATTATTTTGGTAACATTTCTAAAAAATGAACAAGGCATAACAAATTTATGAAAGATATATAAAATACCCAAAAATAAACATACATGGCCTTTTTCTTTTTCTTTGAAACAGTATGTACATGGTTTAGAAGATGATAAAACAATAAAAATAAAATTTATGTACGCAATTTATTTTTAAAATAACATAAAAGGCCCCGTTTAAAATAAATGTACATGGACCAAAAAAAGGTGAACAATAAAAGAGCAAAATTTGCCAACTTAAGTTTAGTTCAACTTGTTAAAGCACGTATGTCCAATTAAAAGATCGTATAGTTGACCTTCCATGCTCACATGTTGTATTCAAACGAAAAATAATAATAAAAGAGTAAACTTTAGGTTTAAGTACTATTTTGATTCATGTACTTTTAGTTTTGGTTCATTTTGGTTTTTATATTTTTAAATTTTGTTTATTTTAGTTTTCCTACTCTCAAAACGTCTATTTTGATCTCTATATTTTTAAGAAATAACCATTTTGGACCCCAATCTGCAAAATTAACACAAATTTTATAAATAATGAAAACTATTTTACACAAATTTATGGCTACGTTTCAAGAAATTTAGTAATTAAAGTATCATGATAAATTATGATCGAAATAAATGATAATCAATGATGGACCAAAATGGTCACTTCTTAAAAGTACGATGGACCAAATAAATGTTTGAAAAGTACAAGAATTAAAATTAACAAAAGCATGAAAGTAGCTTTAAGATGTCATGTTTTTTTTTAGTACAACATGTGGGGGTGGAGAATTGATCTTACAACCTTTTGGTTGGAGATATATGTCAATTACGTTGAATTGTGCAACTCTCATGTTTCCTTAAGCCCCCTTAAAAATAAATGTTTGAAAAGTACAAGGATTAAAATTAACAAAAGCATGAAAGTAGCTTTAAGATGTCATGTTTTTTTTAGTACAACATGTGGGGGTGGAGAATTGATCTTACAACCTTTTGGTTGGAGATATATGTCAATTACGTTGAATCGTGCAACTCTCATGTTTCCTTAAGCCCCCTTAAACTAAATTTGATAGGTTGACTCGGAAAGAAAATTTTAATCTATGAAAATGCATCCAAATGTCCTCAAACTCATATTTCTATATTTGTCTTCAAGCTCATTTAATTAGCACATGATTGTTACTTAAGGAGATTTAAAGCAAACAATAAGGTTACAACTAACCTAAGTTCCAACCTGAGCTTAGATCAATTAGTTAAGAGACCTATTTTGACTAAAAGATCATGCAATTACTTTGTCATAAGTTTTCTAATTAATAGAATAAAAACAAGCTAGTTTTATCCAATCCAAACTATTTTTATCGGATCTCGACCAACCAATTTAATTTAAGCTTGTTACGAAATTAGTGTTAATGTTTATCCCCTCCTTTGCCTTGATTCACCTCCCCGAGCGATTTCAATCCAACAGATCAAGTTTTCTTATATCGTTCTCGGTTATGATCAATCGACTTTTCCATGAAATATTCCATGATCCATTTCGACTCAAAGCTAAGGTCTTCCATAACTTGCACGATTGATACAATATCTATTAGAAAGATTAAGCCAAAAAGATTGGAAAAAATAAAAAATAAAAAAAGACTTGATAGAGGTTTAGTGAAACCCACAATGATTGCATCAACAAAAAACATTACAGAAACATTGCAAAATGGATCAACTTGGTCTCCCCTCTGTCATTGTCCATGCTTGCTTTTCGTGTAGATTAAGGATAAGTTCTTATTTTAGAAATTAAATTAAAACATGGTTTGCATCACACATCTTCACATGTTTATCTGTCTCTAAAACCATTTGTTGTCGTTCTTAGGCTTAAATACATTTTTAGTGCCAAGATTTAAAATAATAGTTAAATGGTTGCTTATATTTAGTCCGGAAGTTTAAAAAGTTTCAATTACGTTAATGAGCTTTCAATTTTGTGTTTAGTAGGTCTAAATTGTTAATTTTGCAATTTCAAACATAGTAGTTGTAAATAAGTGCATCTGGATTTTCACGACACCAACAAACATATGTAGAAGTTTAAGCGACGCAACATCACTAGAAGTTAACATTTAGTGATGTTGTTTAAGGCATTGTTGATTGTTTACTGTTAGTGACGTTTTTGCTCTGCATCACTAAAGAAACGTCTGCTAATTAAAGGCCCAATTTTTTGAAGTGTCGCAAACTGAAAACCTAATTTTATAAGTACAGAGAATCTGACTCATTAGCTCGCTTGCACACACGAAATTTATAGCCCATCTGGCATGCTTTAATTGTTATGCCACGCCACATGATGTCTAATTAATATGATCCACGTGTGATGTGCATTAAATCTAATAGAGTTCAACAAATATCTATTAGTTGAAAATTGAGAAATATAATTGAAAACCTTCCAGTTCAAGAGTAAATAAACACAATACTAAAAGTTTAAAAATCAATTCCAGTGAGAAATATTGTAAAATCTTTGGGCTTCTAAGTAAAGAGGGATAGAAAAATGTTTTGAGAAATTTCTGCAAATTTATGAAAAAGCTCATAAATGCAATCTTAAATAAAACAAATGTCAAATTCAATTGTTTTTAAAAAGAAAATTTATGAATTAAGGATTTATGCTATAAAAGAGTCATTAGTTTCTAATAAATTCGTAAAATGTACTATAAAAAAATCATAAAATGTGCTACTTGTTTGGGCTTCACCTCGTGTGATGAATTGAATATTTCTCTTTATCACCATTCAATTGAATTTGATTATTCAATCTGACAATATCTCAAGGTAGATAAGACATTTACTACACATACCACAAGTTGATAGTTGATCCGATAACGGGTGAACTAAAGAAAAATTTAAATTAAATTAAATAATGACTTGGGAGAGAGAAAATATATAATTTGCAAAAGGGTTTTCTTRTAGGCATAAGATAGGACCCACGTCATGACTCACATATAAAGATTGTCTCCTTCTAGTTTATAAAAAAGGCTTTAAGATATCTAAAGAAAACAGTTAGATTTTATTATTATTATTATTATTATTATTTTTTTGAGATCTAAAGAAAACAGTTGGATTGGAGTTTATATAAATCAAAGTGGAGTAAACTATCGCCTAATTATACAGATAATGTTACTCAAAAAAAAAATACAGATAATGAATATATAAAAGACGTAACTAGTATTAAATTTATACTTGAATTGTAAGCTTTTATCTCCTAGACGTTGAATAACCATTTTGTTTTTTATTTTTCACTTTTAAAAAAGGGAGCATGTTTTAATTCTCTGTTTTCTTTTTTATTTTTTTTATTCTAAATAAATTATATATATATATATATAAAAAAAAAGAGTTTTGAAAATGGATGTTTGCTTTTTTTTGGGGAGGTTGTCTTTCATTAGTCTAGATCCACATTGTTGGGGGTAAAAATATGACATACCATATAGTAAGATATGATCAAGTTACCGTTGAGCTCCTAAACTCACCTATGGCCGAGCTCCTAAACTCACCTCTGACTGAGCTTGAGCTACTAAGTTCATCCATAGCCGATCTCAATCATTGCCAACCTATGACCGACATCTAACCACCTTGTCGTAACGGCCATAACGGACGTGTTCTTTCACTCCGCCTATAAAATGATCTTCATTCTTCTTACTCAGGTATGCAATTCTACCACAAGAATGACCTATTTAACTCGCGCCTATACTGACTTAAACGTCGGAGTGTTTACTTTCTTTTTGCAAGTCCTACCTTGCACGAGCTCGCACCTCGTTAGCTCGGTTAGTTGCCACGTGGGCGACCTCGACAACTCGATAAAATTTTGCATCAACATACGTCTATGAATTGAAAGGTTTGAGATCAAACTCTACGATAAACTTTTAGAATCAGTTGGTTCAATTTTTTTTTCTCCTGCATAATTTTTTTTCCTTGACATATTTCTCTCTAATAACGTAGGAGGAATCAACCAATTCGTTGTTGGGCTGGTCACCGAGGTGGGCTGCTCCGAGACATGTGGTGCCTCGACACCTAGTCGGCCTCGGTTGGTCCGCCGGCGACGGAGCGTTGGAGTAACATCTCCTTAGATTCTCCGGCGCGCTTGGTCCGCTGCTGGATTTTGACCATCTTTAAACATTCCCATTGTCTGTGGGCTTGTTTGCAGTTAATAGTTATCTTTCTAATCTTTTTTTTTTTTTTCAAAAAATAACTTTTCTTTTATCTTTTTAATCTATTTTTTTTCAAAGAAATATTTCTCCAAGTATCTAATTTTCTTTTTCTTGTTTTTTTCACTATAATTTCTATTGTTATTTATTTAATTTTTATAACAAATATATTTCATACCTTTTTTTTGACTAAATTTTTTCTATTATAATTTTCCCTTTTTTCTCAACATGTCTTTTGCTCTCTCTAATTTTTTTCAACTTTTCTCTCATTAAATTTTTGTTTCTAACTTTTCTTTCCTTTATTTTTTTTCTTTCATTTCTCATAAATTTATCTTTAAAAATTTATTTTTACCTTTCTAAGCTTTTATTTTCATATCTACGGAAATGACAAAAATTCTTAAAGATCTGGTCTAATGAAGAATCACTAGAAAACGTATTTAGGAAATTTAAATCTACCAAAGAGACAAAGTTTATTGTTATATCTTCATGTGCTTGTCAGGAGAATTATGGTCGAAAAAGAGTGATGGAAAAATAATCTTAATTATATTTCCAACCCAAAGCAAAGTATTATCCATTCTCGTAGCTTTACCATCAATATCTCAAAGAATCTTGTAATTTACATAATTGTACAAGTTTGGTTTTTTTCTTTTTCTTTTTTTCTTTTTTTAACTCAACGCCTTTTTGTTTGAGAATTAATTCCTTAACTAGTTAATCCATGCTCAAGTTGGTACTGTATAAATTAGTTGTATAAGTGAATTTTGACGTTGATTGGGTTGGTTTTTATATTATTGAAACCATAGGTTGGTTGAGGTATATATTAGATGCACAAATATAATGTTTCAAAATAATAACAATGACCAAARTAAGTTGTTTTTTAAAAGTTTAAAAATTAAATAGACATTTGAGAGTTCAAGGACCAAATGATTAACTTTTTAAGGTTCATTACCGGACAAAATAAAAATTTTAAAAATTAAAAAGTTAAATGGAATAAGCTTAAAAATTCAAGAGTAAAATAGAATTTATGCCTCAAAGTAAAACTAAATAAGTTCTTAATCAAACAAAAATTTTATATTCATTAAAGGAGAGAACCACCTAACAAAAATAGTTCAAACTCTRATTAATAGCATATTTGAGTAATGTTTTTGTTTCTATGTTAGTTTCTTGTTACTATATTTGTAATAAATAAAWAACATAACTTTATCCATTGGTGTAACTACTTCTCGTTGTATTAAAAAAAAATAACTACTTCTTGTTCTTTATTATTTTATTGAAAAAAAAAACCGAAACATTCTCTAAAATTTATAATTTAAAAAGAGTAAAACTTTTGCTAATATGAAAACTAATTTTTTAATGATATTTTTTAAATATTTATTATACATTTTATTAGTAAAGAATCACAAAATAATGTATTTATTAATGTTCGGGAAAAAACTAAAAATGAATAACAAACTTGATTCTTTTTTTTTAAATTTCTACCAAATCTTGAAAACATTTATTAAGGAGTAAAAATAATTATCAAATACTTATGTTTCTCAAAAACTAAAAATAAGAAATAAAAAAGGAAATTCTACTTGAGCCAACAGAACATAACCTCAATAGTTAATACAATGTTGATGGTTAATTGGAGGTTTAATATCTCATCCTCATATTTGTTGTACTGAGAAAAAATTACTACTTTTAACGATAAAATTTTTTCAGCCCATATTATAGTGAGGCCATATCCGACAATAATTTTCATATTTAAAATTTAAACACATTTTAAAAGAAATATCTTGTTTTAAATTTTATTTTTGTCCATGCATTTTTATTTTTATATATTTAGGACAATATACTTTTAAAACGTCAATATTTCTATACACATCGCAAAAACWCTTTAATACAAACCTACGACAATATTTCAAGAAGATTGTGATTGAAAAAAAAATAAAAAAATAATGTATATATGAAAATAATTACTTTCTAAAATAATATAGATTAAAATAGACCTTCTAAAAATACAAAAATCTAAATAAAAAAAGGTAAAAGTAATACATGATCCATATGAACATCACTTAGTAGATAAGACATCACCTATTATCATTTCAAAGATCATAGTTGGATCCCACCCACAATGGTTAATTGCCAAACTTTTCCAAAAAATAAAACTTAAACTAAAAACTAAAAAAGCTTTAAAAAAAAACTAAAATACACGAACGAATATAGGATTTAAACCAAATTTGTTAATAACAAAAAAACAAGAATCAAATAATTTTTTCTAAAAAAAAGAAAGGTCCAACAAAATTTTCAAAACAATAAATGAGAATTGGTAAATTGAAGTATACTTGCCATATTTGAGAATATCCAAGCAATATTCAACCCCATAAGCTAAATTTAATCATAAAATTTATCCAATTAATCATCAATCAAAAAAATAAAGATATATATCCATTAATCATAATCATAATATATGTATTAAAAAAAAAAGATGCGAAATCAAAACCCCCTCTACGGCCTCCACCCTGTTCTTTCCTTATAAGGTATTTATTTAATTATGATTTTTTTTATTATTATTATTTTGCAAAGGTAATATTTTAATGAGTTTTCCTTAGACGTTATATTTACGACCGTTTTACTCTTACATTCTTATGTAAATTCAACGTTTCCATATATATATATATATATATTTTTTCTTTATTATTTTATTAATTTTTATTTACATTTTTAGTTCGAAATTTCTCCTATAAATTCTTGGTTCTCTCGAATCTCAAAAATCAGAAACTCAAAAAAATGGATCTTCCTCGAAAACCCACACAAGCCCATGTAATTTGTTCTCTCTCTCCTCTCTCTAAATTTCATATGTTTTTTTTTTTTAGTAGTTGTTTTGTTTTCTTTTTTCCCACTAATTTTTCATATGAGTTCATAAAATTGTTGGCTGGTTTTGGTTCTGACGAACCCCAAATGGTTTTCTGAGGAAATTTTTTGTAGATCGTTCATTTTCTCGGGAAAATTCAAAAACCAACGCAACTGATACAAAGACGGATTCATGAACCCAACAACCGTTTTTTTCCTAATCTGATTAATTTTGTTTCTGATTTTGTTATTGGGAAAAACCCACCAGTTTTCTCGGGAAGCAAACAGAAACAGAGCAAGTTTCATTTAAACCCATTAAATTTTCCGAGAAACAAACAGAAAATTAAAATAGAATCAATTAATGTTGTTTTTCGGGCAGGTTTCGGCGGCCGTCATTCTATTGGCATTGGTGAGTTTAGCAACCGTCGATGGCAGAAAACCGTGTCCAAATTCTAACTGCGAGGAGTTTCCGGCGATTAATTGCCGGAAGTACTCGGCGGTGCTGACGGAGTTCGGCGCCGTCGGCGACGGAGTTACTTCAAATACGCACGCGTTCCGGCAAGCGATCGAGCATCTGAAGCCGCTGGCGGCSGCCGGCGGCGCTCAGCTGTTTGTTCCGGCGGGGAAATGGCTCACCGGAAGCTTTAATCTCACCAGCCATTTCACTCTCTTCCTCCATAAGGATGCTCAAATTCTAGCTTCTCAGGTTTCCCCTTCATCTTTATATATATTGAAATGGAAATATTTATATATTTTTAAGTCATTTTAATTTCACCTTTTTTAATTTGTCACAAGATATCGATTTTTTTACCCATTATTCAAAATTTCGTGAACTAAAAAAGAGGTAAAACAGTTCAAAACGAATCACATGGATATCCACTTCATTATTTTGGAAATTTTTTATTTAGTATCACCTAAAAAAAATAAAAGTGGGAAAAAAATAGCACATGGATACCCTTATTCCTTTGGTGTAATTAAAGAATAAAAAGAGGATAAAGAAAAGTACATGGAATGAAGTTTGAAATGTTTTAATAGTATGAACTAAAAAGGGTGATTTGGAAAGAATTAAAAAGTTGGAGGGTGTATTTGAGAATTTGTAATAAATTTGTTGCATAATGAAATATTAATTTGTAGTCTTCGGTTTGATGTGGGGGYTTTTTTTGGGTATTATATATTTCGAAGTGATTTCATGTTATTAGGCTATCTCTTTTTTAATTAGGTAGAAGTGCTTAAAAAGTGACATTAATTATTTTTCTGAAATGGAAATAAATGTTTATTTAGTGAGTGATATATTAAATATGGTGAGGTAGATATTGACTTCATTGATAGAGTCAAAATTAGTTCAATTTGGAAGAGAGAGRAAAAAAAGTGCGTTTGGAATTTTARTTCTGATTTATTCCGACCCGACCCGACCCAATGGGGTACTGATCGACTGCGGGCGAGAGTATTGAGAACTGATTGGAATTGGAAAATCGGACGGTGCAGGATGAATCAGAATGGCCACTCGTGGCAATTCTTCCTTCTTATGGAAGGGGAAGAGACGCGCCTGGTGGACGCTTCAGCAGTCTCATTTATGGAACCAATCTCACCGATGTTGTCATCACAGGTGATTACTTCTCTCTATTTTTCTTTTTCTATTTCTCTAAATTTAAAAATTCGTTCACCAAACCATTTTTTACGACCTAACTTGTGAAAATTAAAAAACAAAAAATGGCAGTTTTCAAAAAGAGTTTTTTTTTTCTTTTTATTTTTAAAGTTTGACTAGAACTAATGTATAGCATGCAAAGTTAATCTTAAAATTTTGAAAATTAGAAACTTTGTGAATTTGTTGACCTCCTCCTCCTTCTTCTTCTTCTTCTTCTTTTTTTTTTTTTACTTGGTTGGATAATTACTTCATAATTGATTTTAGGTTTAAAAATTTATGCATTTTTTTCGCAATTTTAAAATAAACAAAAAAGAAGTAAATAAATATATATTTTAAAAGCATAAAACCAAGCCTTGGTTGWGTTAAATACCTTGAAATGTTATGCATTCGTTTGTTTTATTATATAGTTTTTAAAAATATTTTCAAAATCTAAATAAAAAAATTCAAATGCAAAAAATAACCAATAAAATCGTAAAAAAACATGTAAAAAATTTTAAAATTTTGRAGCTAAAAATGAAATGGCAATTGATAATGAAATTTATAAAAGAGGTAAAAAAAGTGGGTCCCACTCATTGTATYGGTGACGTGGTGTAGGGAACAACGGGACGATTGACGGGCAGGGATCTTATTGGTGGGATAAATTCCACAAAAACGAGCTCAACGTAACCCGGCCGTACCTGATCGAGATCATGTACTCCGATCAGATCCAGATCTCTAATCTCACGTTGGTCAACTCTCCTTCTTGGTTCGTCCATCCGATCTACAGCAGGTTTGACTTTTTACCTTCATCGCACGGCTCCTATTCCTTCCCATTTATTTATTTTATTTTATTTTATCATGTTCTGTTCATTACATTGTTTCCAGCTCTATACTCTCACATCATTAATCTTGTTTCAATAAGATYTCATCAGTTTATTTAAAAGTAGAATACTAAAATTTTGAAAAATAGTACTCTTTTTTAATTTTTTTTAATTCATTTTGATCTATTTCGTTCAATTTTGTTGGTTCAAAGGGTTTGGTCAATTTCTAAGTTTGGATTGAGGTTATAGGTTCAAAATCCAGATTAGTTTTTTTCTTTACCAACACTAATACTTTTGAAAATAAATTTGTAATTAACATTAACTATTTTTTTAAAGAACTAATTTGAGGTATACAAAAATGAAAAATATGATACTTTTTTTATGGTATTTGGTATGAAATAAACACAATGTAATGTAAAATATTTAGGTCCTGCCTTTAATAAGTGCTGACTATATATTATGTTCAAAATTTCAATAGTGAATTTTCCTATCCTATATTCTAAAAAAAAATTGTAAAATTAATATTGATTTTATGCAAGTGTAATTTCTTAAGAAAAAGAGTAAAAAGAAAATGTGTTTTTTTTTTAATGAATTAATTTTGTGGTGGTGAAAATGCAGTAATGTGATAATTCAAGGGCTCACAATTCTGGCTCCAATCGACTCTCCCAACACGGACGGAATAGACCCAGGTTCATTCAATTTCCAAAATTATGGCTTAGGGTTAAGGTTTGTTTTTTCTTCTTCTTCCTCAATCCTCATCCCTAATTTCTCGATCCAATTCCAGATTCCTGCACCAACACACGAATCGAGGACTGCTTCATCGTCTCCGGCGACGACTGCATCGCCGTCAAGAGCGGATGGGACCAATACGGGATCCGATTCGGGATGCCGACCGAGCACCTCCT